CTACCGCTGCTAATCCTAAGTGGTCTGAATCTCCGAAGGTATTTTAGGGTGCTTCTTTATGTTTTTATCATTTATAAACTACCAAAAGCCACGCGTTTCCCAACGGCACCTCAATATTCGTTCCACAGGACAACCTGTACGAGCGCAGTCAGCTGCACACTGTGAAATGTAGGGAAACGATAAATTAACAAAATCTTCTGAGGAAAAAAGTAACAAGACACTTTTGGTTCTACTTATTTTCCTTGTTCTCACCCCTTTTTTAACTGATGCTTTTTAATTTGCCTTATGCTTAAATTATTTTTACACTGAACTTATTCTAGTCTTTACTGGAAAACTAATGTAAAGTTAAAACAAAAAAAAACCCCAAAAATCCCAAACCAACCAACCAAATAAAACAAAAAACACAACAATAACAACAACACCCTGGAAAGGCATTCTTGTTGCACATCTTTCCACATGTAGCTTGACCACAGCCCTTACACATAAAACTGCACAGCAAAGGTATTTATTACAGAAATCTTTCAAAATCTGCCACTGATGCTGGAATTTAAGAATGCATCATCCACATCACAGTCCTAATAAAAATTAATTTTCAGTTTTATTACAGAAGTCACTATGAAGGAAGCCACCACAGCTCAGGTAACTGCAGCACTTAAAAGTGTTAGATGCTGTTATTTTTGCATAAAGACTAAGCTATGAGGGTCTCAGCAGGCCCCATGTCTGAGAAAAGAAATGCCAGCATTATAGTAAGAAAATTACACTCCTAAGATATAACACTCTAAAGTAACAAGGGTATCTTTAATGTCTGTGAGTTTTATGTAAAGTAGATCTGGGACATTTACTCAATTTTATAAAATTCCAGGTCCTTTTCTGTTATATATTGAAGGAACAATCTTAACTTTACAACTTGTCTTCTAGATGCATCCCAAATAATAACAACAGGAGACATGTCAAAGATCTGCACACAGGAAAGATGTTATAGTGCCATGGTGCTGTTAAGCAGTGTTTAGTCAGTGCAGAAGTAATGGAAAAAAATGGTACAAAAACACAAAATGACAAATTAACAGCTACGAGATAACTGTATCTGAAGACAGTGAAATTAAGTCAAAGAGCATGTGATAAAAACACCACAGGCCTATTGAGAAGGCAATTCATAAAGTGGGATATGAAACTGTTTAACAAGTTGCAAACTTACCATTCCCACAGGAAGATAAATCGACCATTTACTAAGCATACAAATTAGAGTCATGGGTATTGCTTCAGGAAAGCATCACTGTGTAAATATCAAAATATACTGCAATATAAAAATCTGAAAATTTTATAAAGCTTTGAAATATTTGTGCAGTGGATTCATTTGTCCTGGAAGATGCAGAGCTTTTCCTTTCAAGGCTTCCAATTAAACCATTATCACATTTCAAAGACCAATGCTGCATCTGTCCATTGCCATAATCAAGAGCCACTTACCTACTTCAAGTGTTTACAAAACACAAGTGTATGAAAATTTGCTATTTGGTATTTGTGTTCTTCTAAGAACAGAAAATAACAACCCAAGTAAAATCCATTATAAGATACTGACAATGCTGTAATTTAAATGCTGTCATTTTGTCCAGCAAAAGAACATTCCCAGGTGGTCTCATTTTGCTCTGGATGCTGCACACCTCCATGCCTCTCCTGGCTGAGCTCTACACCAGACCAGACCACCCCAGGGCACCGTGGCTGATGCAATCATGCAAATGATGCAAAAAAAACCTCACCCAAGAATGAACTACTCATCTCCATCGGTAAGTCAGTCTCTGATAGGCGACTTCCTCCTCCTGGGGGAAAAAAATCAGGCACAGCAAGGTATGTGAGCTTTTGAGCCCATCTGCAGAGAGAGACCTGCCATGCACCAGCATGTGCTGACACCCTCACAGGCAGCCCTCAGGCACCTGGACAAGCCTGGGGCTGGTCTCTTTCACACCTGCTCTGCAGGTGCCTTGTCAAGAGTTTTGGTCTGCAGCAGTCCTCCTGAAGTGCAGTGCACTGCATCTTGTACTTCCACTGCACTCTATTTTGTATCTTCATACCCTTCTGCACGTCTTTCAGTGCAACTTCAGGCTTCACCAAAGAGGAATCTCTAGTGAACCACTTGCAATTCTGATTCTTGCAATTTATGGATCTTTTCTTCCACAGATATGGGAAACTTTCTTGTACGCCTTCTAAAATAGCATAACCACGGGGAACAGGCATTGTATGTGGGTGTTATCAGATCCCCATATCAGTATCTCCACAAAATAGTAACTCCTTGAAAGTGTATTCCCAAGTCCACAGAACTTTCATGCTCACGCTGCTGGAGTTTTTTACCAAGACTGAAAACAACCCAATATATAAAATCTCCAGCTGCACATGAACTAAGGGAGGGAGTCATCTTGACACCACGGACACAGAGAGGCTCGGTAAGCACAGCATTTTGCAGCACTTCTGATTATAAAAGCATTTAAACTGCTGCAAAGCACACTCGACGTATTTTAAGTTTTGTCCATGAAGTTATAGACGTGGACTCTAAAGCTGGGGGAGGAGGTGCCAGTAAAACATCTTCAAGCACAACCAAAACTCTAGAAAAAAAACCTGTTCCTACACTTAATTTCAACAGAGCACACCAGAGAAATTAGCAGGTGTGTATGTTACCAACTCACTGTCTATCTCCTGAACCAGATGGTGTGGTATTTTGTTCCATTTATTTGAAGCTTGCCTGAACTGCCTCTAAAAGTTTTAAAAATTCTGTAATGGGAGAGAAAATTTCTATTAGAGAAAGTGCACAGGAAACCTAATGTTTGCTCATGCACATAAAGCAGACAGGTCTCTGGAGAAATGGGAAACTTTTTGGAGGAGTTGAGAGAGACAAGCTGGGAGAAAATTTGTGAAGGGAGATTTATTCCTCCCTTTTCCAAAAGGGCAGGGGTATTCTGTGCTTGAAAAAAATTATTTTTTCAGAAAAAAATGTAGCAGTTTGCCACAAGTGCTGTTTGTGCTGTATCCACTTAATTTTACCTAATGGAAATGAGCCAGTTACAAGGTTGCAAGGTCTTATCCTTAGGCGAGGTTTCAAGTTAAAACATGTAGGATGAGTAAGAGATGAGCAAAAGAACTCACCAACTCCTGCTGAATTTCCAGACAGCTTGAAACAGATACTTACAATTAAAAAAAGGAAGAGATTCAGCAATTCTGATAAAATAACAGTTATGCTAGAAACTTAATTAAAAATAAGCTTTGAGGTTTTTACTGGATGATGTAGCAATCCATGTATTTTCATGATACATATACTGATGCCATATCCTTTTCTGAAGACAACCAGGCACAACATTTAACCCTTTTGCTCCTTGGAAACATGTTTTACCTTATATTCATAGGTGAAAGAAATCAAGTTCCACTAAAGCTATGTTAATAAAAAAAAAAAATAGCAACAGATACTGAACGAATTTGAACAAATCCAAACAGCGACCTTCATTGCAAAAGCAATTTTTTAGCCACCCCCCGCCCCCCACCCAAGAAGAATTAATATATCCTCATATGTAGGACCCAGAAAGACACAATTACCTGCACCAGTTCAGTGTGCTGGTTTGCATTTGCTGGTTTGTTCATTTATTACATCAAGAGACTGAAATCATAATTCCAGGTAAGAAAAGAGTGTGAGGTGTCAGCCAACAGCCTTGCTTCCCAAAGGGAGCAAAAACTCTTCCCATAATACAAATACCAGTCCTTCCCAGCTTTGAGAGGCATTAGAAGTGCTTCCATAGCTGGGTCACCTTGGCCCATTGTTATAATTGTAATTGTTGCCATTACTGCATCCCTTCGATGTCAGGAGGTTGTGAGAGTTTCTTCCACTATTCACCCCTACACCTCCTGAGGAATGGAGTGCACACACTGACTTTAGGGACACTGCCTTCCTTAAGTTCACTAACAAAGCAAGTACAATTACTGACAATTTTTAAGAGCAGCATCAGCATCATATTAAGATGGACACTGCTGGATGAAAAAGAAGTAATTCTAAAATAAAGTCTAGGTCTGTAGCACAACTATCAAACTGCTAAAATCTTTTGTGCTATTGTAACTTTTTTTTTTTCATAGTGGACAACCAAGTTTCTGAATTGCCTATTGCAAAAGTGAACAAATTACCTCTGAAAAGTGCATTCCAGTCTAAATTATTCTGTTCTATGAGAGAACCTTCATCTCTCTGCTGTTCCTTTTAGCCATAGAAACATGAAGAGTGCCTTTGTTAAGATCTATGCTAATAAAGACATGCATTTTGATCTGATTCCACAAAACACCAACAGAGATGCCAATACTGAACAATACTACTTTTAAAAATTATTCAGTCTATACAACTTGTTCTTTTAAAGAACAAGGTAACATATGAAGATCTGTTTCGATCCATTAAATCATTCTTAGTTTAAACAAGCAATTACAAATTGTACTTGGTAACAATCCAAACAAAAACTGGGAAAAAAAGCAGAATTGCTATGGAAAAAATAGCTTTTTCCTCCTGTACACATCAGAAAATGTATCTGTTAAAAATGGAAGCTGTTATTACTGTATGTACTTCACCATTTGAAGCAAGATGGAAAAAGGATTGACTGACCTGGTCCAGAAAATAGGCTAAGTTCAAATCCAATTAAAGTGTATTTTTTAAACTGCATACACACTGGCAATGAAAATATCTACCTGCTAAACATCCGTATGCAATCCCGATTCATTTAATTCCTTCAGCATGCAAGTGAGCCTAATAAAATCAACTATTAATACACTGAAGTGGGTTGCTGAATCAAAACCTCCACCATACAGTACAGGACTTGCAGTGCCATATTCTTGCTAAGAGCATGCTGGCATCCCAATACTGTCTCTCCATGCTCTTGTTTTTCCCCCCACAAACATCACAAAAATAAAATGTATACAGTACATGGTGACACAGCTAAACCTTTAATGCAGAAAGTGCTGGCTTATACAGGGGTCCTCCAACTTACCTGTGGCTTGGCAGAAGAGGTGGAAGGGTTCCCGGACACTAACATGCTGTGCCTGGTCACTTAGGAAAGGTGGCAACAACATGACCTTTATGGGGTCTTTGCTAGACCAAACATCAGGCTGGGTACTGGTGGGTGAAGGAGGTGAATCACTTCCCACACAGGACAAAAAGGAGGTACCAGTAGGAGGGAAAGGTATAGGAGATGAGGCTGTGTGACAGAAGAGGACAGAAAAGAAAGTAAAAGGGTACTAAGGAAAGAAGTTGCAAGAAATACATCACACAATGAAGAAATACTACAAAAAAGACAAATGAGTTTCAGAAAGGTAGTAAGACAAAGTGTCCCTAGGCCCCTAGATGAGAGCACTTTTCTCCTTCACCCACGCTGTTTTCCTCCCATCCTTCCCATCTCCCTGCCTGGGTTATAACCCTTTCGATTGAAGCTGAGAGGCTGCTTCAAATTAATTAAAAAGTTTTTACATTCCCCCCAAAGAAAATCACAAGGAACATTAGTGCCTTGCCAAATGGAAAGCACCGTCATTGTGTCATGTTTCAGAAAAGCCAAGATGTAATACAATTTATTTTAATATTTATTCTGTTATATGTACATAATTAAAAATAGAAAAATAAAACCAAACTGAATCTTATAAAATATAAACTGTTTACACTAAGATGGTCTAAATTATGTTTGCATGAAAGTTGAACACAGAAAAGCAGCCCAGGCATACTGCTGTTTACTGTTAAAATGTATTCTACTTCTAGCAATATTTACAGAAAGAAGCAGTGAAAGGAACAATTCTTCAGGACTGTACTGCACACATAAAATGCTTTTACAGACAAACAGTGCTGCTGTGAACCAGGCTGAGAACAAATGCACACTTTCAACGTTAGCAGGCATGATTCACATAAAAGAGTTCAAAGGACTGATTGTTTAAGCAGCTCCAGTTTCAGTCTCCAGTTGCATAGGAGAGTGAAGGTATCATCCAGAAAGGGTGACGCTGCAAGTATCTGTCACAAAAAGAAGCTGAGTTATTTCTGAATCTGAAAAGAAGAAAAAAATCAGCAAAGTTTTCTCATCAGGCTGTGTCCTAACAGTCCATTCCAGTGAGTCACCAGCTGAATTGTTGGAGTTAATTCTTCTTGATTCCTGTTTTGCTTCCATAATGCAAGAAATATCTTTCCGTGTCACTGCTAACTGACAGTTGCTTGCCTGTACTGTTCTATGAACTAAAGAAAAAAAAAATAAATCCAGTTTTGTATAGAAAATAAAACGTGACTATGTCCAGCTGGCTGGCTGGTGGGGGGAGGAAAAAAAAAATAATAAAAAAAAAAGCATTTGTTTCCTCCTTCCCCATTCCCCACTTACTCCATGTTTTGTACTGATATTGTCGTACCTACATTTCTAGAAAGCAGCAAAGAAAAGAGCCTTTAAACAAGATTATCCCTGAGTCTTACACAAATCAAGGCAATGCTATCCCCATTATACCTTAAAATCTAAGATACTTATAGAGCAGTTAAAATAATTAACTTTAACCAACTAAAGAGATCTAGTGTGCCAAAACACAAAGCATAAAACTAAAAACAATCACTAGAAGCAAAGAAAAAAAATGTCCCAATCTGGACAAAAGTCTATAATTTACCAATCTGATAAACTAAACTCAATTTCCAATTTGGAATTAAAATGAAACTAGATCTTTTTTTAATGGCAACTAAATATATGTGAAGACTGAAGTACTTTTTAAAGCCAACTGAATTATAAAGTTACTTTTACTCTATCGAAGAATATGGCCAAAGAACAAGCAAGTAGCTTCACTAGAGCAAAGTGCTCAGTGGGGGGAAAAACTGGGAACAAACAAGTGGTGATCTGAAACTGGCCATTTGAAAAAAACAGAAAAAAACACAGTACAACACAAGATGCTATGGTCTCCAGACAAGTACACCACTTCTCTAATCTGTTGAGATCTGAACGAAAATTGGCTTGCTGTACAGCTTAAGCATGTAACCCCTGCTATGGCTTAGCTGTCACACCCAGGCTCTCCGTGCTCAAATAGCCAGCCGCAGGACCACAGCTCACTTCCACCACTGAGAGGGATGGTGGGCTCCTTCAGTCCCCCTCCACATCCGAGTCGGCGTACTTGAGCTCGCACTTGACGTCGAAGGGCTTGTCCTTGGCCTCACGGGACGCCTGCGAATCCCCAGCCTGCAGCTGGCTGTTCCCGCAGTCGGGCTCCGTCTCGTAGCCGGTGTCGTGCGCAGGCTTGGGCTGCTCCCCGCTCTGGTGGCTGACACTGCCCTGCTCCACCAGCGTCTCTTTCACGCTTTGCTCGCAATCAGAAAAATCTGACTTCGTTTTCTTCTTACCGAGCAGCATCACAGAGCGAAATTTCAAGCACTGCCCTGGCAAGTACCCTTTGTAACAGTTGTAGGAGAGCAGGCACAAAAAGAGAATGAAAAAGAAGAGGAAGAGGAACATCAACAGGAAGTTATCATTTGACTTGAGGAACATTGTCTTTTCAGGGACTGCGTCAGGAATTGAATTGAAGAGCTCTGTGTTGGAGGCTACACTCGTTAGGACAGGGCCAATGGGCTTAGTTAATATCCTTGCTGTTGTTACTGGTACCGTGTGCGTGGTCGAGATGTGAGCAGTGGACCCCTCGGTTGACACAGCCGATACTTTTGGCACTTCACTATTACCTTCTGTTGGTGCGGCTGCTGTGGTGGGGCCCACCGTGGTATGCTGCATTTTTTTCAGTTCCAAAACATGCTTAGCCAGCACCTGAGAAAACTTCTTATTTTTCACTTTTTCTTCTGACAAACACTGGTAAACACCACTGTCTCCTTCTGATAAATTGAAGATGAGCAGTGCCTTCTCCAGCAGACGGTACTTGGGACTCTCCACTCTCAGCACATCATCTTTGAACTTCCAAACTACCTGTGCCAGATTGGACTTTTGAGAACACTTGAGTTCTGCTGTGCTCCCATGCTTGAATGTATGCTGTAGGGGATTCTCTCTTACTTTATCTGGAACATCAAAATAAACGTGCAGAGTATCAGCAATGATTCCAGTTTGCTCTAATCCGTACAGCTTCACCAGACTGTGTTACAGTCTAACTGGAAGCATGAAGACTTATGGCATTCACCTCACAAGACCAGGTGGACAGCATGCAAGAATCTCAGTGGAATACCAAGCTGCACGTGGAACATCAAGACAAACTAAGAGATAGGACACCTCAACTCTAAGATGGCCTCCACTTCTAGATAAAGGTGAGACCTCACTGATCCACAGCTGAGAGTGCACCTGACAAGTCACTGTTCAGGAAAGATACTGTACTTGGTCTCACGTTACAGCCAATTAGTGCATTTTATGTAAAGTGGCAGCTACAAAGTATCCAAGAGGAAACTGAACTTGGAACTCTCTTCTGAAAAAAAGGATATTTGCACTTATGGCACGCCCACAATTTATGGCACCCCATAAGTTAACAGAAAAATAACAAGCAAAGCTCTCATGGCGGTCCATGCTTGGCTTGGATTAGAAATAAAAAGCGAGTACATCAAACTCTTAAGAGCTTTTTTTACTGGAGCTAAAATCTCCTGTAACTCTACTCTACACTTTATGATCTCATTGATCTGGTGGCAGCAGCACACTAGATAAAGAAAGGACCTGTGGTTACTTGTTTTAAAGCACTATGGAAGGTACTTCAGCTGCTCTACATCATGTTCTGAGTTCCCCCTCCCCTCTCACCATAAAACCAGCTTTTTTTTTCAGAATAATTTAATCTGATCTAGCAGCAATAACCAAGCACTTGTCAAAGCTCACAGTAGAATGTCAAATGCTGCATCAAAGAGACAGAGGCCTCTGCAATAGAAGTACTTCTGGTATTGCTTTCATTCACAAGTCACTGTTGAGGTGCCCCCATTCATTTCAGGGGGTTGTGCACTGCACACTGAAATGCATACAAACACAGACAGTTTTTAAGACAACATGCAGGTTGTACAGATGCTCAAATATTCAAAGCAGAATCCCATACCTATTAAAATGTAAATGAATGTCCAGATAATCACAAAAGCAAAGCTGAACTAAATAGAATTCTTTCACCACTCCACCTAGACATATGAAGGAGCTCTTCAAAGACTAACTCACCAGAACAAGAAGATGCATCTCCACCTATGTTTTGAATCCAGTTCCTGTAAAAGGAAATCCAACCATTACAATTTCAAATCTTTTGTTTCCTAAAATCTGCCCATCCCTTTGTACTACTAAGTAATGTAAGCAGCACTAGCAGACATAAATGGATAGGAAAAAGTCTGTATTTGAAATTTCAATTTTTAAAATAAAAAAATACTCAATTTTTAAAATTCCAATCATCAGTAAGGGACAATATTGATTGTAACTGTAAGGTATTTAAAGGATACTATTACCTTTCCATTTCACCTTCTTTAAAAATATCAATGCAGGAAGCTTCAAGAGGTTTCCAAGCACAGTAAGGATCCCTTGCTAAAACACAGTCAACACAAGTGGTATACTTGTCACAGAATGCCACTGGAGACTGCACCACACCAGAATTTGAACCAGCAAAGAGGTACCTTCTGCCCTAAAGAAAACAAAGCACAAAAAAAAAAAATCACAGCCAATCACTTTCTCAAACCCAAACCACCCAATTCATGGAACAATTTAAATGTTATTAAAGAGCTGCATACATACAGCCTTTTTTGTAAAAAGTGGTGCCTCAGGAAAGTAAGCATTTGATTAACTCTTATTTCTAGAAAGTTATCTTGGAAATACTACAGCAATGCTGAAAGTGTAAGAAGACAACAAAAGACTGGAACAGGTATGTGAAAAGTAACCATGTCTAACTAAACTTTATCAATTTTTTCCAGAAATATGAATGCAGTAATCCTTCTATGAGGCAAGGCAATGCTGTGCTAACAACAAGGCTGCAGTTGGCACACTCAAGACTGAGCGGGCAGTAGGACTGCTCCTGTTAACCCAAAGCAGCCCTACTGCCTTCAGCTCTTTAGCCAGCCTGTCTCTGCAGCCACACCAGCATCATCCTTATGAGAGTCAAATGCTTCTTAAGGAAGAACACTGTAGTATTCAAAGGAAACGGCACTAACAAGACACCCTAGAAGAAGGGGGAAATAATCACAATGGCTGTTGAACCATTGCTGCTGGGGATCCCAAAGTAGTCTCACTCTGAGCACAGGAGGAAAAGACCACACTCACCCTTTATTATAAAAGGCAGGCAGCTGCCTGAGTATTTCACTCATCTGCTTTAGAACTCGGGGAAAATGATGGCTAAAGGTACAGTGTGACTTTACATTACATTTACATTATCAGGCAAAGCCTCAAGAAAGGGGCCTGTGCTGCAGCTCAAATCCACCATGACTGACTCACTACTCCTTTTGAGAGGCTCTGCATAGAAAGCTGAATGGCACACCCCACCTCAGCAGCGGGCTGGCTTCATCCTGAGCAGAATACTGAGCAGGTTTATCAGCACCCTGCTGCAGCTGTCAGTCAAACGAGCTGGATCCAAGCATGGAATGGCTTTTCCTGTACAACTATACAGATCTCGGTGCACAGAAACGTACTCTATCATGTCTGCAGTGACTCCAGCAGTATGAGCACAGTCACAAAGTGATGAGCAGACATCCAAGGAAAGATTTAAAGCACAGAAACATTCCTCAAAAATCTCATGTTCAGGTGCACACATTTGGTCCTGACATCAAAAACACGCTCAAGAAAAGAACTGACAGACCATCTAAAGGCTGCATTTAGGTTTTGGGGTTCAGTGATGCTCTGCTCTTTCAGCTAAGGATATAAGGAGGTTCTGCCACAAGAACTCTGAACAGGTCAGTCTCTTTAATGCAATGATCTCTAGAAGAAGTCTCTAGAGGAAGCTGCAAGACCCAGCACAAATTAGTTTGAATCCTTCTCACATATATAAAGTGTGCAAACAGCTTTCAGGAGAACTCTTGACACTGGAAAATGTAAGATAAAATACAATCAAAAAGGAATCTGCTGGCACTGTTGGAAGTTACAGTTTGAATGACAGTCAAACAAACATTCGAATGCACTCTTCCATCCTGAAATTTAACACAGATTAGTGTTGGACTATGCTGCAGTACTCATAGAAGGAAGTCTACAGTGTTGGAGACTTACAACCTCCTAGGAAAAGCCTCCCATACTGCTCAAAGGTCTCCACATTGCACCAAGCACTGCTCATCCTTCTAGTGCTCTGCTGGATAACACTGCAACAATGCAACACTGTGTATGGGTCGTAGTGTCCTGGCTCACACATCCAGGAGTTCAGAGAACATGCAGTGAGCAGAGCAAACCATTTAAATAAAACATCCAGACACACCTTCCAATCAAGCAGGAGCTAAGATGATCTATTGTAGGCTCTTCTGACTGCCCACCACACTCCACACCACACTACGGGGAAGAACCTAGAGACCACTTAAAAATGAGCTCAGAAAGGACTCTGACTTCAAAGAGGTCTAAAGTCCACCATCAGAGCAATTACTACCCTTCTGTGGTAAGTCCACTACTGTGGGATGCCACGACACGTAACACAATGCCAGCTCTTCGTGGACTTCAGTAGCCACCAACTGTGGAGGCAGAAACTTGCGTTTTCAGGTTGGGAAGCAGCAGGAATCCCTGCTTGGGTGGTATTGTGACTATACAGTTACCATGACTCTGGCAGCCAACCCAACCTCCTGCTCCCCCATCACTGAAAAGGACCTCTGGTTTTATGGGAATGTACTGGGCAGCATTATTTCAGTGAGTATGTGGCAACTGGACCCAGAGTGAATAAATTCAATGCCATTATTCCTACAGCAGCCTTCCAAGTGCGTGCTTAAATTGCTGCATGATGTGTATTTGTCATCAGGCTTAATGCCCATCTCTTTCTTTGCATTCTCCCGAAATACGTAAATCACAATCAAGCCAGTGTAGGAATGATCCCACAATTAGAGGAATGGCTATTAGCATATATATTAGAAGAGCTATCTAACATTATAGTCTATGAAAGGGCAAATTCCAAAACTTCCTGTCAAAGCAAGTAATTTGAAACTTATTTTGCTGATTAAGCAAATACTTTGTGTGTATGTATATATATATATATACACATGTATGTATATATATACATATATGTATATACATGTATACACATACACATAATACACATCTGCACAGATAAGTAAGTGACTTGTCAGTGTGATGAATCAGACAAAAATAATACAAACATGTTTACGGAAAACTAAGCACAGACGTTCTTCATCCTGATTTTTGTTTGTCTAGCAACGTATTCTGTCCTGTCCTTCTATTATAAACATGAAAGGACAAATAAGCATGCAGGATGAGCTTGTAAAAATTACGGCATAAAGCTCTTAGCTGATCATGTTGACATGCAAAATTTTATTTAATATCACACGAAAACAAAAGCTGTTTCAAAGTATTCCTAAGTCCCTAAGCTGCAGAACGCTTATTGATCACTAGGGTAGCTACTGAATGCCGGTATTACTACTAGGTACTTCAAAAGAGGCACTCATTCTTTATGAAACGCAGAAAATCTCACTGATGCTACAAGTGACTTCAGGCATACACGAACTACAGTGACCATCCTCCTACTGTCACAAAAGCACTCTAGGATTAAATAAAGCATCTGATAAACAGTGCAGGAAAGCTGCCAGGTTTGGAGCGTGCAGCAGCTCTCATACCACCCAGCTGGAGCTGCAGCTGGTGCCCCACTGGGCAGACAAGACCTCACCAGAGGTCTTCACCCACAGCTGCAGCAACTGCAGTGGCTGCTCTCACAACACAACCAGCATGCAGGAGCCTGCGAGATTTGGGTCTGCAGAAATCAATCAACTGCACAGTAATGAGACCCTGTGCTAGAAGACTGTTCTCTCTTCTTAGGTCCATTTCCCCAGAACCACACACCACTCCTCTGCTAACCTCAACCCCGGGGGTTTTTCCTCACTAATCTGCAGTGGCCACAAGGGGTCAGGTTTTTTTACATCACGCTAAACCTGAAATTGGTTTCTTAAAACACTTTCCAGTTCCCTGCTTCTGCACATGGAAACCAAGTGAAGACCTGCATACCTGTGCTCCCACAGCCATTCCCCGTGAAGGTCTAAATACCTTCAGAAGTTTTCCATCTACCAAACATACTGAAATGCAGCAGGCAATATGTGATTGCCGCAGCATGGTGAGTTACAAATGCAGCCTCTGCTCCACGCACAGCAACAATCTCTTGTCACAAGGTCACAAAGTGGTATAGAGAAAGTTTTGTGAAAGAACAAAAGGAGATGAATGCTGTGATGCTTGTACCACTTACTGTTTTGGATGAAAGCAAGAGAGTTTGGACTGGTTCAAAATTTGGGAAAAGCTGTGTTTCTTCAATAATATGCATTCCATTTTCATAGCTGATAGATTTGTGCAGGGCTCCTCGATCTGAAACAACAGAGGAGTATGCTTAAGTAAGATCCTTTAAATAAAAAGGCAGGAAAAAAGCCTTCATAATTGCTAAAAATTGTCTTAATCCGCTTGCTGTTCAGCAGAACAACTCCATGTCAAAGGTAACCATTAAACTTGCCATCATCAGGACCTCTGAGCAAGAAGTAACATTTTGGTACACAGAATGACTAGCTGGGGATTGTAGTGTGGTTTGGCTGAACTCACTGAACCTTTGCAGTTCTTTTTCTGCAATACTTTTTCAAATCACCTAAGACTGTACATTTACTGTGGCACTTTACATTTTTTTTACACCAGCTGGTGTAAAAGCAATGCAAATATAGAAATCTCAGGAGTTTCTCTAAGAAAACTAAAGAATCAGTGCATCACCACAAACAGGTGTTTTGCAGAACTCACCTGTACCAATGAACATAACATCATAGATGGTGCCATTGAGTGCTCTGACTCTGTCAACTACAATCTGTGTATACTTCACATCTCGCTTTACTAGCCGAGGTCTGTCTCCCATTGGGGTCACCGAGTCATCCATTAGAGGATGATCTTTAACAAACTGCAATGTTTTGTCTGGTAAATTCAGAGAACTCATGTAGTTGGATGCTCTGGCTTCATTGTTTATACACTAGAAGTGGGGACAGGGAGAGGGTGAAAAAGAAAAAAGACAATCAAATTGTATCATATACTTGTACAAAATGAAGACAATTAAGAGCAGTTGCCTGCATTTTCTTCTCCACATTATTCTGGCCAGTAACCACACCTGTACACTATACTCATTGTACCCAGGAAGGTCCTCAGGTCTTACAGCACTTCGGCTTCAGGGATGTACTAATCCCTGAGCTTTGGACTACATTTTTGTTTGGGTCCAAAATATGTTCTAGGAAAAGAATTCCTTCTCTGGTCTCACGCACCCTCAATACTTTTAACCATCACCTCTTTCAGTACTAGCAGTAGTATGACTATAAGGAACACAAGGAAGTAAAAAAAAGTCTGAAAGAGACCCCGTACTAGGACAGCTTTGAGTTTGCAGAGCAGTGCACTACATTAGAAAGACATGCTGATTCTACTGAGACAATGCAACACTTGCTATACTCCTTTTCATCTGAACTAAAAAGTGTATGATGTTGCTAGTGTAAACTGAGTTCTATTTCACAATGAGAAAGTTATTAACAAAATAATGAATTACAAACTCAGCAAATAACTTCGAAATTAAAAAAAACTCAAAACCCAAAGACTTTGATTCCCAGATAAAAAGTTCAGAATGCATCACCTGAATGCTTTTCTAGCAAGTTTTTACAAGAAGTAACCATGTGAAGGCAAACAAATGAATCATTAGTAGGTTACCAGTATTCCCTAGTCTGTTTCCTCCAGAGCATTAAGGAAGTCATCAGATCCAAGACTAGAGAAACTTACCGCACCAGGTCGAGGATTAGGAATTTCCCCATTGTATCGCACCCACTTTGTATGAGACTGTTCCACTGTAGCACTCTGCATGTATTTTCCTTTTGAGAAAACCTCTTCTACAGTAGACAGATTGTATGCACACACTGCTGAGAGTCCCACATTATTCCTATGAATTCAGGAAGATATTAGGAAAAAAAAAATAAAACCCAGCAAAACATATGAGTAATTATCATTTTCTTGCAGTAACCAATTGAGATTAAAGGTATTTATCCAGGAAAAGGCTGTACCACACTTACAGTTGTGGGGTGAAGACTCCGTATATCACTGGTTCCTTCAAAGTCGGAGATTTGAGAATAAAAACATCATTGATAACATTGAAAATTAAATTCTTATCAGGGATGGTACAAATCAGTCTGGCCTTGAGAAATGAAGTCCATTTTTTCTGCAAGGTCCTTAATCCTCCTTGGTCCCTCTTATGCATTTAAAAAAAAAAAAGAAAAAAGTGTTTGTGAGGAGAACTAGCAGCATTTTCGCATTTCAGAAGCACTGCTATATAGCATGCAATTACTAAGCCCTGGTGTTTTATATTATTTCATCTACAGCAACATCAATAAATGCTAACACACTCACAAACACAACAGTATGAAAGCCACAGGAAAATCAGTTTAACAAAAATAATGCAAAATTGTTTCTGTCACACATACAGGGAAGATGAGAGTTAATGAAGAATCATACTTCAGCATCACTCAGAAAAATTGAGATGGGCAATGTATCATTAGGAAAAAAGTAAAACAAGTATGGAAGTATTATACTGTCCTTTTAAGAGAAATGTGTTGCTGCATTTGTTCTGTGACACCAAAACTGATTCTAACTGATTTAAATTCTAACACTGCAGTATGCCTTAAGACTTGCCTGACACTGATAATTTCATTAGAAGAAATCCAGCAATGGTTTAACCCTTCTAGCAGTTACTACCTTTGTTAAGGCTTTGCAGGTACCAAGGCTTAAGATATATTGACTAGAGATGTATTTCAAAATATTTGATAATTGAGCTGTAGCTCTGCTACTTCTCTTATAAAAGAGCATATTGAAACAATATTAACATTTCCATTTAATATTTCCATTCATTACCCAATGGTGTATGCAATGTATTAAAGGAAATCTGCAAAAATTTTATTAAAACAATTAAGTATAAATGCTTATTAGATTTGCAACCTGCCACTGATTTCTATTTCAAACAACAGTCTGAAATATATAATAATGTAACAGATGAAGCTCTCATATTCCACAATACTCCCCTTTTAAAGTGTGCACGAGCTGTCAGAGGGCAGAGTGCCATAATAGTAAGCCCCATCTAAACCTGCCTCCAGCTCCTTGTTTAATGGAAATCTCAAGGGCACTAACTTGTTATTGATATTTTGACTTCCCTCTTTAAATACAAAAACAGTAAAGTCAAAATAAAACTTTCAACCTCGTAAAAATGAAACAGACAGATAAACTTCCTGCTGGAAAAAAAAAGGAAATTGATACATTCCACTGAAAAAGTTTTTGTTAAATAAACATTTTCTGCTGAAAAAACATCCATCAGGCAAGATTTTAACCAGCACTCCTGAGGATGTGTTTGAATCAGCTTAACACATTGGGGTTTAAGCACAGTGAGTGTGACAGAATCAGGCTGCTGGTGACCATTTCCTTCAGGCTCTGGCAGCTGTAGCAGCTTCATAGAAGTCCCATCTGCTACACCAGTCAAGAGCTATTTTGCTGTGGACACAGCTACAGTTTTGCTTGCATACAGCTAATTCAAAGTCCCTTGATATACATCCTATCTGCTCAGCTCCAACAAAAGTCACTTCTTCACAGGGAGCTGTACTTTTAAAAAAAATGAACAATGAAAACTGAAGCAACACTCTTTCTGCCACTGGATTTTGTCATGGTTGTTTTGTTTCCTCCCAGACAAAAAAAGCAGAACCCGCAGATATACAGAAATTTTACAACTGTGCAAAATTAAATCAAGTATTTATTTACAAAGCAACCATTAGGCCTTCTCAGCTCCGACTAACTGACTGGAACTGCTTGTTCATTACGGTTTACTAAACTCAACCACCTCCATTTACCTGGCAGTAAGTCCAGAGAAATCAATGTTTTTTAACATGCACACACAAGATTCTATGAGATACAGTAAAAGTAAACTGAACCATCTCCCACCTTGCATACTCTAGCTATTCTTGGAATCATCAATTTTCCAACAAATTCATACTCCACAGACACCTCAGTGAAAAAGAAGTATATCTTGTCGTCTTCTCCATCTGTGCTGTTTGGATCTGCTCTTATCACATCAGCAAAAACAAAGTTGGGCTCTACAGACACAAACAGAAGAATTTTCCATTATATATGTGACTACTAACTTGATTCCCTCAAAGACCCTCAGACGCTGTCTTTCACCCCAACTCCACAGTGCATTTACCTCCTCTCCGCTTGCTGACCTACTTACACAGTTGGCTGCTCATAATATGAACAGGATTTCTAAAAAAACCCCAAACCACAAAACACTGACCAGAAACAGAAAAAAAACCAAAGAAAACCCCACAAAACTTACATTAAAGCACTATGATACCCGAGAGATCTCTATGATCTGACGGCTCACCCAGTCCACACTCAAATGTGGTTTTCTAATGGGCCCAGAGAGGTAAATCTCCCTTGCCTGCCTCTCCTCCATTTCAGCTGTATGCTAAAGCACTAAAATGACAGTCCCATTATAACATGTATTACAAACTCAGAATCCTGTACTTTTCGGACAATGGTTGTGATATTGGTCCTTTTTGGCACAAATCCTCAAACCTCTGGGAATTCATGAAATTCAGTGAATTTTGAAATTCACAAACTTAAAGTGTCAATAACCGTGATCAGCTCAATTTAAGAACCAATTCACGACCAAAACCATTCCATTCCTTGCCATTTCATAATTAATGCATTAATTGCATTACTGCAGTAATTGCATTACTGCAAGGATGAACTAGCAGACAAGAAATAAACCATTAATGTCAAGTTCAAACATGAATATTCTGAAGCTGTTTTCATCATCAATGCTGATGAAAATCCTGAAATTTCAAAATACAATCTCTTTATGGCATGCATGAGGGCACACACTCACAGAGTATGCCAGTGTAACAAAATCCAACTTTTTGAGATATCAGACAATTGCTCCATACCCAGGTATGACACCCAAGCTCAAACCCTGTACGTGTGATGGTGAAGAAAAATGGGCCAGCTTTCATGCTCACTTACCATTAAGCCAGGGTATTGCATACTCTGTTCGCAGAGGGCTCTGATGAGAGTGCCGTGAAATAATAGGTTCACTTCCCAAAAAATTGTAGGAAGTCCCAGAATAAAGCTCCTCATCTTCAACACAAAACCAGATATATTAGAACTTATGGACTGGATACCAAGAAGGGTACATAAATACTTAGTGAATCTATGTAAGTTTTAACTTCCCACAAGAAAAGGTAAACACAGATTTCCTCTGAATTGCCCTGGACATGTCTTTTATGTTTACATTTCTGTCAATCATTCGCAAACTAACACTTCCACACTTGGGTTTATTATTACTATTGTTGCTCTAACATGAGAACTGACAAAAGTAACGCCAGTTTTGTGCCATTTTAACATTTAACATGAAAATCTACGGTTTATCTTAAAACATGCAAATTTACTTAAATGCACCAGAAGTCTGGAATTATTTTCTTCTCTTTCTATGCCACCATTACTCAAACTCGATTTGCACAGATTTAGGCACAATGCAGGGACTGTTTTATTTTTTTCTCATTTCCTGTTTCATATGATGTTAAGCTTCTCTTTTATGATCTTGAGACACGCAAGTAAAAGACACAAATTTTGGCTTCCCCAAATTAAGATTGGGTGGTGTGTTTCCATGCAGTAAGTATACCTGCAATAAGTATCTCGCTTCCCCCACCGTCTTTGGGACAGCTAACAATACTGCTTTTTATATTTACTGAAATTACAGTAATTGATAGTACAAGGGCAGTATAAGCACATTTACACTATCCAGACTACATATGTTTAACATCTAGAAATGCAGTTTGAAAACTGGTATTTTAGAAATTACTTCCAAAAGAAACTAGTTTGAAGTTCTCCATTTAAGAAGCATGCTTAGGTTGACTATGTAACTATTTTAACAACTATATGGATACACAATACAGACAAAATATGGATGCAAACCAACATTTTGATTATGACAGACTGGAGGGTGACAGTGGAAAAAATAGAACATTTTTAAACATAAGAACGAGGAATGCGAAGTCTGAACTTACCAACCATAACGGATGTGTAGCTTTGAGCAGGATCAAATGGACATCTGCCCTTACCATCTTCATTTTTACCTCCAAGTTCAAATGAAATTAAATTCTGTTGAAAACCACAAAACAAGTATTAGCACTTTTTCCTTCCAGCCACTCAACCTGTGCAAAGTTGGCTGAAAACTAAACACTAAATAATGGGCTACATCATCGGCTTCCAGGATCAAAGGCATTTTGTATAAAATTATAGAAGGTGTATGTGTTTTCAGAAAATCTTGAGTCCCAAAGACAGAGAAAAAATGTGATCCTATAATTTTTGAGGGTAGAAGCAGAAAAGAGCAAAAGATGAAAAGTTAAATGCAGACAGACCTCAAGAAAGAACACCCAAAAAAGCTGGACAGTAAGAAAGGCAGAGATGTTAACTGATACATAGAAAGAACTGTCAATTATTCAATTGTCTTAGAAATCAAGAAGGCTTTCTGAGGTGGATTAAGCAATTTTTGAGATGATGGTAGATTTGTGAGATAGGGCATAATCCAACTAGCAACAGAGTACTTTGGCTGCTACTTTATAAATCCCTTACCAACCAAAGGAATGAGGATCAGAAAGATGAAATGTTGTCACAGTACTGGAGAAGTAATCAGTTATACTATGTAATGAAAACACTGGAAGCTAAAGGCACAAAGAATTATAAGATTTCTCAATTTTCAATTTGCTAAGAGCTGCAGTAAGGAAAATTATACAAGAGTCGGTGGCAAGTAAAAGGAGTTTTAATTCTGTGCCAAGACTTCACTCTGAAGGGTTCAGCACTACACATCTTTGTCACAGCCAGGAGCAGAGACAAGAAGAGAGAGGAATCTGAGAAATTTCAGGGGGATTCAGTAATGAGTGTAAGTTTCAAACAATGTAATTTCAGTTTTAGTAACTGGTTTCATGCTAACACACAATACATGAAGAAGTATAAAAGCCAAGAAAAAGTAAATCTGCAGTTGGTGATCTGTGCAAATCTGCAAATGTGCTCTGAAAAAGGAGCAGTATACTCTGCCATTATGATGGGACAGTGCCATCATAATGCTCATAAACCTTACAGCCAGGAGGGAAGATGCAACTGTTTTGGGAAAGGAGAGTAACTCGTTTACCTGAGCTGCCCTTAAGTTACAGCTGTTTTTGCATCAAAGCATGTGAACATATCTTACCAGGTAATCACACGTTGGCTGAAATGCATTAGTTCCACACACGTAGAGGAAAGTATCATTCAGCTGTTGCAAGACGCGCACGTAATTACGACATTCTGTCTGTAACAGAGGATGAGGAAAGGACTAGTCTGATAAACCATAGCTTCTACATTCCAACACAAACAAACAACATTGTCCACTGCCACTACTTATGCCACATCACACTGGCAAGCCCGGGAAACACGTGTGACACTGGGACACCATCTCCCTGCAGCCTCCAGGAGCTCTAATCAATCCTGCAGCAGCTCGTTTCCTACAGCCAGTAGTGTGCAGCTGCCTCAGTGTCCTAGCAGGACAGCATGCTCAGCAGGGCCCATCCCAAGCGGTTTTATGGAAGGACAAGCCCCAAACACACCTCCAGTCCATGGGAACAACTAGTTAAACATGAAGTGAGTTTTAGACCTTATCATCCCTCGTACATCTACATGAAACAATGACAGCCCAGGTTGTTTGTTAAGTGCAAAACCCCTAATACCCTTAAATTAGCTACAAAGCTTTATTGCTTATAGCCATCATTTTTGGTTTTTTTCCAGTCCTTGATACTGTCCAAGGAAGCTCCATAACATTTTTAAGCTCTGAAACAGAACAAGGAGTTTGACCAAAATCCTTAATAAAGGATACAGTGAAAACTCAAAATAATAATCAAGTAAAACAACTCTAAACAACCACTTAGAGAGAGGGAGAAAACCAGTATCAGTAAGACTCCTTAATTCTTGCTGGTACACTGCCAGATCCCTCCACTGAACTGCTGTTCTGTGAACTTCTTAGGCAAGTTTAAGCACTGGCACTACTGTTCCTTCTTACGAGACAAATTAGATATTTCTGAGACTGTATGGAAGGAAAAAAGCAAGGGGGAAGAGTGTAAAACCAGTTTTCTGCCAGACAAGGCCCTTGAACAGCTGCATGAATGCTTTCTGCTGGCATTATAAAGCACATTGCTTATGGGTGGGGGACAGAACTGCCCATTTACATGTAGGAAATAGAAGTAGCAGTTAATACATTGACCCTTTGGAAACTATTGCACCGTGCAGAACACCATAGCTACAACATAAATGTGACTAGTAGGTTAGAAGTAAAGTGAGGAAAAAGTGTGGCTGGCAATAACTATGAGTTTACTCATAATACTTTAATAATACTTCACAATAAGTTTAGCAATGAGTTGCTAAACTGGGAGTAAGAGGTAATATAAGAAAAATTCAGAGGTCAATCAAAGTACGTATTAATGGGGTCTAATACACCCCACCACTAATTTTTGAGAGGACTTGCAGAGACTCACACACAAGTCTGCTAAACACATGCTAACGCACAAGGTAAACTTATATCACATATTCATCATGGCTGTATATATATATCAGTACTATTAGCAGCAATCCCAACTGACCAAAAATAATATTCTCTGATCCTGTCCTGCAGAGGTATGCATGGACAACACACACCTTAAATATCTGTCACACCTCATGTTCAAATAATCCACTGATGATCATCAGTGGTCAGTCAAGGGAAAGAAGCAGCTAGTCAAATGGAGACAGCCCACTCCCATCCTGATGAACCACACGAATGCAGAGTAACTATCAGCCCTGGATGCAGCATTTGGGGTTTTTAACAGTGCAAACTGAAGAGGCTGCACATTCAAGGATCCAAGTGCAGAGTAGATCTGCTTTTTGTATGCACAGGACTTCTACTTTCAAACCTGTGTTAAAGGCCTGATCAGTCTTGCCTAGCAAACCCTTGCTTTACTGCATCATCATTTAAGGTCTTACACAAATGGAAAGGTACAGCCACATACAGTCAGCTACCTCAAGTAAACATTCTCCCCAGAGGGACAAGAGGAGCAGGCCAGCCTGTGCCCTGGCAGCCGTGAGGAGTGGTGGCTCCCAGAAGCACCAGGGGACCCTGCCCAAGCTTACAGGAGGTCTGGCTGCACGGGTGCTGTCTGAGCTCTCTGAGTTACACAAGGGGCACACTCATCAAGCAACACAATACACATATACAGAATTAGAGAAAAAATACACTGGCCTGATAAAAAACCCCTATGCCCCAAAGAAAAGCACACAAAATTAATCATTCACTCTGTTAAAATCAAATGCTGTGAATGTCATTACAATAACAAAACACAACAGTTGCTATCAATTACTTCAGTGAAAGCAATATTGGTTTATCATCCTAATGGAAAACCATTAACATTAAGCACACGTCAGAGTGTGTTCAGATTTTCAAACATTCAAATAATATTCAACAACAAAAATAATGAGCTAAGAAAGAAAAGACTGAGCATGCTGCAGCTTCTAATGCTCAAGTTAATGAAAAAGAAATTAGGTGATGGTTTTGGAATTTTAGTTTCAAACAGTTGGAGACTTTCTTCTTTTAATGCCACTCCTCTTTAAGTAAAATGCACAAGATCTTTCTCAAAATTCAATAAAAGTACATACCTGTTCTGATTTGCCCTTGACTGCACATTTAGTCCTTTTATCTTCTGTGACCTTCCAGTGTAACTAAGTGAAAAAACATGCAACAAAAAAGTACATTGAAATATGAAATACTATAATTCAATGCAAGGTCTAAAAATCTTGCAGTAACACACACAAGAAAAGGCAATCCTATCTAGAGCAAATGCAAGATATTTTGCAAGTAGCATTCAAAGGTTTGAAAACATTTTTTTCTCAGGGAGGTGACATTTTCAAATCCATGTGCCTTAAGCAGAACTAAACTACCATCTTCTGCGTTCATAATGATGATTCCCCACAAATGACTAATGAACTTTTCATTACCACAAGCATTAGGGAAATGCAACTGGCTTAAGTATTTTTTCAATCTCAAGTACTTCTCAATTTCATTAACACTTGAATAAAAAACAATTGGGGGAAAGGAATCAAAGAAAATTTACTTGACTAATTTACACTATACTGAGTAGAACTTTACAACTATGTTTCATATGCTGGTAGAGATGCCCATTACCACCACCCATGAACATGTTCTTCACATTAGAAATCATATAAGCATCTTCTAAAGCACCCTGGGTGGTAGTTCACACCGCACATCTACACGTCAGCTGGTGTGGCTGATGGGATGAAAAGCAGGAGCCTGGGAAGAACCTGGAAGCAGTATAACATTAGCAGACTTCTGTCTGGGCTAATCTACTTTGAGAAACCAGCACAAACATATTTAAAGTACTTCTCTGAGCAAGCTGATCAGACCTGTCTGCAGCACCACTTACTGCGCAGACACACCTAGACACAAAATAGAAGATGAGACTGAAAGGACAGTGCCTTCATCTGCAGCACATCTGCAGCCTCCTCCGAGCAAGCCCCAGCTTTGCCTCTGTTTCAGATTACTTATTGACTCAGACTAACAGAAAATGGCCCACTCCTGATATTAGGAAAACGTGGAAGAACTACCACTACAGATGATACCCACAGTCCCTCTCATCCAGCATCCTGCCCCCAAGAAGAAAACACCCAAGGAGATCTCTAATTACTTGTTTATATATCCAGCTTCTCCTTTCTCATTCTCTTTTACTCTGTAAAATCTTCCAGAAATAGTACTGGAGTAAACCATACAGAGTAATTTCTCTTTTAGGTACCTTTTATGGTATTTTTTACTAAAATGAAATGCTACTGATATCAGGAAATTAAGTCAAATTTGGAGTAAAATTTTTACATGGAGGATAATGTATCAAAAGGCATACCTCGTGCTGCTTCTCAGCAATATTCACTGCATTTAAGGCAAAGATTACTTCCCTGGCTCCTACATAGAGAACGTTTTTGTCTTCACTTAACAGCAAGGTTGAATAGTTTGACACTTTTGATTCATTAAAATGTATTAGCTGGACCTCTGTTGAAAAAAAAAAAAAATAGCACCTCATGAAGATACACAATCACTTAGGGTCAAGCTCATAAGTAATTTTTTTCTAAGTTGTCTAACAGCTGTTGGAAAACTTGAAAACAACAAAGGTTAGTTCAGACAACCTGTGTAAAAGACAAGGGACCCCTTAGAAGCTCGATTCAGCAGAAACAGAAGCTTCCACCAACATCAAAATCACTTGTCCCGACCTTCTCATTGAATTTCAAATGTGATTTTCAAATTACTTCCTCTTGTGGTGATCCCTGTAACTCACTTATTCCTTCAATCTTTTTTCTACTTGCTTTTTCTAAACTTCTATTTTCCACATCCATTGTCAGATTGTTCCTCACCTTTTCCTTTCCATATACCAATCTACTGTGGAAAATCAGGCCAGTCAGCACATCCCTTTCAACTACCCTGAACAAATCTTATAGAATATCCTGCACCTGAAGACAACTTTTCAGCATACTGACATAACAGAAGAAAGACACAAAAGCAAGTAACAAACAATTTGCAGTTGACTATGAAGTGAAAACCAGAGATGATATACACAACCTACACACAAAATAACAGTATGAGGGAAAAAATCAGGAAGAATATAAATAAAATAAGAAGAAGAGGGAGATACGAGAGAGCAGGCAGTGGAATGAGGAAGTGTGTAGAATGGACCAGATTAGCTTGAAGAAAAATGACAAAAACTAAAACAAGAGTATTTTTTCTGAATGTATAATGTAAAAATGACTGAAAGCTTTTGTACATGAAGACACAAGATTAATTAAACATGGCTTTTTACGATACAGATTAAAACAATATACTATTACTTCCAATTCTCTCATCTGTAATTACACATTTTCAACTGTAACACTCCAGAAACACTAATTTTAAACTAGATTCTCAAGCATGTAATTTTGCAATCTTTTACTTGGCAGGAAAATTTTCCCAAAATGGATGAACTGGTTCATACAACTCCACTGAACTAAACTCCCTCTCCTATTCAAAGTAGGTTTCCAGCATTTAAATGCAACAATCTTTAGCAGACAGAGAGAGAAACAGCAGGAGTAATAAACTCCATTTATTTTGACTAATTTGGATGTGAGTGGGCAGTACCTTACCATAACATTAAATTGCAACTTGCCAAATTTCCACTACAAGATAGAAGCATCAAGGAGTCTAAGCAGGAACTACAAGCCTTGTCTAGGCTGCCCTTCCTGAAAGCCTGTATCAGCAGCTCACTAATTGCTATACCAATAATCAGGAAAAACACTTCTACACTCATCTCATAATCTGCTTATTCCTACTACATTCTTAATCTCCATTTATCTTTTCCTACAGAATGTCTGCTCAGAATTTAACATCCTTACTTAAGATTGCTTCATTATGCAGCCAGTGTATTTGTTTGGGTTTGTTCAGTTACTGCACATTTGGGTAATCCACTGCTGCTTACTAATGTTAAAGGACCCAAAGTCAAAATCTCTTGAAACATCCATGCCACATGGGTAATGGGGGGTAGCAGCAGAAAATAGGAAAAAAAAATGCTTAAATTCACAAAAAAACTACTCTATAGACTTGGCTCTAAAGTTCTCTTCAGACCCAGGCTAAGTTATTAAACCAAACGCTAAAGGATCCTCTGATTTCTATTACTTCTTTTTGCACTTTTATTTTCAGACTCCCGATTATTGTATTGGGAGATTAGGAATATGTGCTGCTATTTCAAATTGCAGATTCAAATGCAAGAAAAGCATTGTTCTGTGAAAGACTTTCATCTCTAGACACCATAAAATGCTGTTGGAAGAGGGCCAAATCCTTATTTTTCATTTGCCTGTTGATTTATTTAATGCTCAGGATGGCTCAGCGTCAAAATAGATTGTTAGCTGGAGAGGTGCATTTTGCTAACGTATTCAGACTCCAGGTAAAAGTAATTTGATTAAAATAAAATACACCTACTGGGATTTTCTCTTGAAACAAGTTTCAGTTGCAATATCCTTCAGCTGAGAAAGCCAAATTTGGAATTTCTCCTCTGCTTTCAAAGCTGCTTGAAGAAACCAAAATCACTTAACCAATGCCTGAATGATTTTTGCATATTCTGGTCCTAAGCATTTTATAAGATGAGCCAAGTAGCAATACCTGACCAAATGCACAGCAAATTGGCTGAAAGAACCTAAAGCCTCAGTGAGTTTCAAAACCCACAGAAACCCTGAGGATGCGGCAATGTCCCATATTACAACACTTAAATTTTTGTTCTTACCTTTGTGTTCCCAAGTGATCCTCGGTACCGGGCCAAATGCTATTGCCACTTCTAGCAACAAGCCCCAAACTGCATAAAAAGCAGACAGGGCCATCTTCAGTCTCCTTGCTCTTCGGGGTTTCAATGGGTAACTGCAGCAGGTAGCGTTTCTTTGGCAGATGAAATGGAGACCCCAGGGAGTATTAGAGACCAGGCATTTCAGCCTTTGAGAGCAATGCAACAAGGGAGGCTGGAACAACTGTACAAGTACGTGCTTTTCAGCAGATCACTTCAAGAGAACGCACATTTTCCAGGATGCTGCATACAGAGACTGCCCACACGCTCCACAGGCTGCAGAGCTGCTGAGAAGTGTGACTGAGTGCATTCTTCTGTTTGCCGGAGAAATAAATGAGGCTGTGGAGAGAGGAGGGAAGTAAGAAGTAGAAAAGAAAGCAAACCAAATACTGCCAAAAATAGCACTGATCTTGCAGTACTTCTATAGCTGTCTGCATACCTTTTGGATATAAAATATTATTAACTGGTAAAAATCATATTCTTAAAAACAAGACACACATTACATGGCAAATGGGCAATAACTGAAAGCAATCCTTTAAATCTAGAATTCCAAGTGTAAACATTTTGAATTGTCAATTATGCTTAATGCACATAACTTGACTCTAGTCTATTCTTTCAACAGTGTGGCAAAGAAAACCCCACCTCTCTAACAAGCAACAAAGATCACAAAATCACTATAACTAAGATCACAGACCAAAGAACATGAGAAATACAGCATTAATAGTAAGTATGGTTACACAAATCTGCTGTAGCTCCCATACTTGGGATCTCACGGAAGTGTCTTTTTTTAGTGAAGTTTCCTATAATACTACTAACTCACCCAAAGTGTGGAGTTTGCAGGGGATAGAAATATAGCTACAGAAACCAAGAGCTAATGGACTGCATACAAAAATTAAGGGAGTAAACACTTCACTAGTGAAACTGCTAGATAGACAGTCTCATGAAAGTCATTGTGTCTCTGAGTCAACTATTACTCTCAGAACCCAGAAAGACCTGTCCTAATAAACAAAACTGTTCACTGCTTTCTACACCATCTTCCAGAAGTCTCCACTCCTCCTGCCTTCCTACAACCACTCCTAGGTGAAGACTCCAGAAGCAGTGAGTACATTCATCAATTACCAGATCGTAAATACCCATCACATTTAGGGTGGTGATGAAAAAAACACGTCACCCTTTGCAGCAGGGCACAAGATGCTAGATTCTCACTGTGCCACCCCTGCCTGAGACACTGAGGTAACTCTAGTAAGAGACACACTACAATACAAGATAATGTCATACCTAGAGGTCATCCATTAGGAGGGCAAGTGAAGCTGTATTGATTTTGCATGGCCTGGTTTTGGTAGCAGGTGGGCTACAGGGGTGGCTCGAGGAAGAAGATGCTAGAAGCTTCCATCACATCCAGCAGAGCCAACCACTGGCAGCTCCAAAGACAAATGTGCTGTTGGCCAAGGCTGGCCCGATTACAAATGGTGCTAAAGCCTCTGTGATAACATATTTAGGAAGAAATCAAACCACAGGTGGTGTCACAGTTTTAGCTGTGAGCAGAAAGAGCAGGGTAAGAACAACTCTGCAGACAGAGGTCAGTGCAGGAGGAGAGGCAGGAGCTGCTCCAGGCACCAGAGCTGAGATTCCCCTGCAGCCCCTGGTGCAGATCGTAGCGAGGCAGCCGTGCCCCTGCAGCCCGTGGAGGTTCGTGGGGATGCAGAGATCCACCTGCAGCATGTGGAGGAGCCCAGTGCCAGCAGGTGGATGCTATGGGAAGCTGTGACCCTGTGAGAGAACTGTGGAGAGAGCAGCTCTGCTCCCATGCTGGAGCCATCTCTCCTTGAAGGACTGCACCCCATGGAAGAGTGACCCAGGCTGCAGCAGCTCTGGGAGGACTGCTGCCCGTGGGATGGACTCACACTGCAGCAGGTCACACAGAGCTGGTGCTCCTGAGAGGGACTGACATCAGAGAAGTTCATGGAGAGCTGTCTGCCATGGGAGAGACCCCACAGTGCAGCTGGGGAACGACTCCTCTCCCAGCCATGGATAAACCAAGGCTGAGGAATTGACCATAATCCCCATTCCCTGTCAATCTGCACCACTGGGACAGGAGGTAGAGCTTGGGAAGGATGGAGGGGTAGGGTGGAAGTTGTTTTTGAGGCCTTTTTTTATCCTGCTCTGACTGCATTAGTAATGTTTACAATTCAGATCTCTAATTAGAGCCTGTTTTGCCCATGATGGTATTTGATGAGTGATCTCTCCCATTCCTTATCTCTACCCATGAACCCTTTGCTAAATTTTCTCTCCCCTGTCCAGCTGCACAGGAGAGTGTGTGAGCAGCTTTTGTGGGTGCCTGGCATGCAGTCAGCGTCAATCCATGATAGAAGGTTACAAAATCACTAGAAACATTAAAAGCAAGAGGTCAGAAAAACTCAGAGGTAAAAAGACTAAGGTGAAGCAGCAGCAAGATCATCTCTAACCACAAGCAAGATGCCTCTGGGAGGACCTGGGTTTAAGCAGGAAAAGACAAGGAATCTCTTGTAAGTGTAGCCAGTGGATCTTAAGTAAGGTGGCCGAGTAGAAGACAGACAACTACATTCTAAGTGTTTACACCTGCTTTACTAAATGTTCACAGGCAAGATTAAAAGATTTAGACATCTCATTTATTTCTATAAATCTTTTATCTAATAAGAAACAAATCCACACAACTGTAACTTGCTTAAGCTGAACCTGTAACTTTGTTTTTCTATTTTTTTTTTGTCTTAGTAAGTAGTTTGGATCAAATCCAACTGTTTGCAGAAGATCATAAAAATAATTTTGGTTTATAAGGCATCATATTTTCAGTTAAGCTTATTAAGCTTTTTTGTCTTTCATCCTTCCTATTTGTCATCAAATACAAGCAATTCCAGGTTTTGCTCTCCAATACATTAAAGGTGCCCACTCATCCAAGTTACAAGGTATGACATTCTGAGGCAAGCAAACAGCTTTACAGGTCAGTGTTCAAAAAGGTAACAACAGTTAATTATTAAAGTTCCAGGCAAATTAGGTATTTTATTTTAAGATAAATGTAAGGAGGAAAACAGCAGTATGAAGAAACATCTTTGACCCATTGTTTATGCACACAGCTAATCCTTTTCTTAATGCTACATCTTATTACTTAAAAGACTGCATATAAAAATCAATTCCCTGTTAACTCTTGATTTTATTTTTTTTAATTTCTTTTTTTTTATTTCATTTTAAAGAGACAGCCAGGACAACTTCAAGCTATCAGTTATGTACAATACCATATAGCAGAGATGACTCCAAAAGAGACTTCTGAAGTCCTGTACATTTTTTGAACTTTCAAATAGGATTAGCAAATATAAGCCCTAGTAAAGGAAAATCCTGAGTTCTCCTACATTCACATTACATTCCTAGTCTAGCTCACCTATCTCAGTAAATGCAAAATGACAATGAAACTTGAAACAAATTACATTATCTTTTGAAGGAAACAAAGAGTCTGGCTGGATCCTTTATAGTGCCTGCTTTGCTTTGTGGACTGAGAACTGCCCTGGCTATACAAAATGGAAACCTATTTCATTACGATTTCATTCCTATTGTACAGGGTTGCAAGAAAGGTCCTTTTTTCACATTAATAGGTTTGACTTGTGTGACATTACTTGATGATCTAAGGCAAAATTCTGGATGTTACAAAAAGGAATTAAACAGTCTACAGTGAACATTACATACCCAATTGTGCAAGATCCACTTTGTTCTCATTTTTATAACTTTAAATAGAGATGAAAATGCACTCAGAACCTTGTCCTTTAATTTAGCCTTCAATTTAATTACTCTCCCCTGCCCCTCCCTTCTCTGTGCTGAAAATTATCTGGAGTAAGTCCTTCACTGACATCCACTGCGAGGTCATTCATAAGATAATATGAACCTCTTTTTATATAACACAAGGGGTACAAGAAAGAAAAGTAAAAAAAAAAAAAAAAGAAAAATTAAAAGGCCCAGACAATGGCCTGATTTCCAGATTAACTTCAATTTCATCAGTGTTCACTACCTTTAATTAGATCTGAGTGCTTTGAATTTATGGAAAGTTAGGTCTCCTAATACTTTGAGCATTACTCCCAAAAAATAAGCCACAGTTTGCTTGGAAACAAGCAAAGTACACTGAAGAAGTAAATCCGAAAGAAACCTGAAATATTTGGTTACATGATTAAATTCTGATTAAAGTGACCACTGGTCAACTTTTCTGTAAAACTGTTAAAAATTTTCTGAGATAAATAATCAGTTCATCAATGATTTAGGAACTCTGATGCAAAATTACCATCAATGTATAATGACAAAATGGAGTAAAATGAGTTTTCCATAATGCCTGTTATTTATGGTGACTAAAAACAGGGCAACTGGAGAAGCAATCAACGCAACTCCTGTCCATTTGGCAGAGCACAGCTGGAAGCTCAAAGCTGTGAACATTCCCCTTGACATGTATAATTGTAATGCATGGACAGAGAAACGGATAGAAACAATTGTCTGCTCTCTTAAAGGATAGAAATTCAAAGTTATTAGAAAAGAGGCTGCATAACTGCTAGTAAGGAATACAGGTTCTGAAATCAGGGAATTGCAATGGCATATACTGACTGCTACCAAGATCATAAACCATCTGTCTCTCGTGTCACCTGTGTCACTGGGCAGCAAAGAAGCAGTGCTTTCGTCCACCTTCTGGAAAAATGCAAAATCCTCGTCATGTCATGTGAGAAGCTGGAAAACCAGCCATGGGAAGGAGACTGTCTCCTTTCTCATTCTCCAGGACATGAAGGCAAAGTATGCACAAAGAGGTACTTGTGAACACCAGGTTTCATCTTTCAGATATGTCAATTCCACAACCTTTGCCAGTACCCAGGTTTTTTTTAAGTAATGCAACCCAGAGGCGAGTGTCAGGCAAGTGTCCCCAGTCAGCATGCTATGGCTGGATCCAAGTGTGTGTATCTCATATGACCAAATGCCACCTAAGTTAGCCAAGTTCTGGAATTTTAAAGCTAGGAAATGGCCAATTTTGCAACACTGCTTTTGAAATATCTTTTCTTCTGAGAAACACTTAGTTGCATTGTGCAGCCTAGTTTGGCTCAGTACTACATAAACTGCTAAGTGGATCTAGTTTTATTTTGTATATGAAGGTTAAAACCAGGAGAATTTACTAACGCACCAGAAACAGTCAGCATCATAGCTGGGACTCTTGTCATTCCCAAGAAATTATCACTACCATCACAGAGGATCCAGCCTCTCCCTCAAGAAAGCCAAAGAAGCACTGGCCATCCTGGCCTAATTCCATCACTCTTTTCATGATTCCCCAGCCACACTAAGTGCCCCCATAATTTTCTTCTCTTTTTGTATTGCACTTTACTCTCCTCCACAGGGTGTATCTTTCCTTGCAATCCCTCATCTACTCTGTACTTATCCTCCCACCCACACTGTCACCCACTTTTCTTGCCCAACACAAGCAATGCATAGTTCCATGACCACGCGTGATGCCAGCCCCCCCACTGAGGCTGCCAGACAAAAGACCGCTTTTCTTTAGGCTTAAAGGCCCTTTAAAATACATACTTCCCTATCTCTCTGTCAAATCACTGTCTCATCACTCATTGTCCAGGGACAGAAAAACGAGGACGTCACAGTAAGGAACAACTAACTGCAAGACACCCTTCTTTCCCACTGCCAGGAGCAAAACCACCATGGCAGGTTCAGCAGGCAGTCTACCGTGCTATTTTCAGATAATGATAATAATAATTTAAAAAAACAACTAACCCACACAGCAAAAAACTCAAACACATTTGCAAAACTTGCAAGGAGTAACTTGTAAGTTACTGTGATAAGGGATATGAAGCTCAATATGTGGAGACAGGCAAATTTATGAGTGAATTGCTTCCACCAGCAGAAAAGGGTGAGTTAAAGGATTCAACTGTCAGAGGCCATAAATTCCAAGTTCTCCCTAAATAACTTTCTTTTGAAGCTTTAACAGAACACAAGCCTGCTTTAATATTTATTGATGCCTATTTTAAAACAGATTCTAAGGCTCCATGCATGAAAAAAAACCAAAACAGAGAAGTAGAACTGTGAGAGATTTTGCTTAAACCTCTTATTTTTCAATTTTGTTTCCAAAACTGAAAGGCAAAGTTAGCAACGTTTGTATTTTAAGTAATCAAAATTACACAGTGAGAAGTGTACAAATTACCTTCGACAGCTGAGTTTTGATTCCAAAGTTTGTGCATTTCAGAACAGTAGACACAGGCTGGTTATACCTTTACTTTAGTTCTCAGCCTTTTAAAAAGCACTGAGCACAGTGCCATTTTTATACAGTCTCATGAAAAACATCATTATTTACATTATTATTATATTTTTATTATAAAATACATATGGATGATTTTTTTCCTGAGATAAGGTACAGCCTCAAACTAGCAGACCAACAGCCCTTTATGATTAATATACATGTAGAGCACGGGATTATTTGCATTTCAAACTATAACCAAAATACTTTGTAGTTGCTAGATGATTACAAATTAGATGAAGATTCTTAAGATAATTTGGTGTGGTCTTTATCTCTACCACAAAACCTGCTAGAGGATGTGCACTAGTGCTAAAAGAGGATATACAAGCCGAGAAAACAAATTCCCAGTTTTAGGCCAGAAATCAGTATTTTCTGTTTCTGCCTGATAAAAATGCCATCAAGCAGTCCTCAGGAAACTAATTCTTGTGCTTAAATAAGAGAATTTATCCTCAGACAGGTACTGCTAAAGACCCTTCATTTTTTTAAACTCATATTCCCGTTTCTTTTACTACTACATTCTTTTTCTGTGGGCAAAGATGAAGTGTTATGCAAAACAAAAGGTATGTACAAGACAGATTAAAATTCTTATTTTTTAAGATTATTGTGGGTAGATCACAACAGTCCCCAACCTGAACTTCAACTTCAAAGAGCAATAGGAAAGAGCTAACTTGGATGCTGAGCTATCTGAATACAGAATTCAAGAGCTACCCTGATCAAAGACCCTTTTCTGCCTGACTGGGCACTCCCAGATTTTAAACCTGGGTTGTGACAGTGACAGAGCTGCAGTTAAAACCACGCAAGAAGGGAAGTCCCTGAAGTTTGTCTTCTCTTACCTGTTAAACATATTGTCACAATCAAAAATAGCACTTAGTTTCTTTCTCATTTCCTCTTGGGCTCATAGGACTGAATGAGTCATTTGAAGATGCCTCTTGGAAAGTAATGGCACATGTGAAAGTACCTGCATGTCTAAATTAACAGGTATGTGTGCTTTAGGAAAATAATAAAAAACCTTAGGTGTTCAGCAACACTTCCACAGTCAAACATCTCCAAATGCAAGCCCAGTACCCTTTCATGCACATAAACCACATAACAGGGAAGGTGACACTCTGAACAGGACCTTTTAGAGACAACTGAAGAACAGGTAAATACAGAGTATGCTCCTGAATAAAGAAAATCCTTTCCTGGTAAGTTTCCTGAGTATTTAGTCTTGAAGCAAAAGAACACAATAAATCAAACTCATAGTTCAATCCTGACTGACATCTTTCAATATGCACCAAGTCCCTAGTATTCCTACGGTATGTTTATCTGTTTTGCTAACAAGGACACCTGTAACAGAGTCACCACGAATCCAACAAAGCCCCCCCTTGCTGTGGGGATGTACCTCAGGTTTCAATGTACGTACCTGCCACCCTTCGGAGCCTCCTGCACACGCCAGAGCTGGGAAGCCGTCAGAAACACGTCCTTTCTGAAAAGGGATAAGAAACAAGCTTTGGCACCAGTACCACATAATCCTGAAGGGCAAGTTCTGATACGGGAATTATAATAAATCCTCCCCCAAAAGTCTGACTTTTATTTTCCAGATTACCAGGGAAGAACATTCCTGACAAAATACAGAACTGCTACATTTGCATCCAATGAGCCAAGATCCTGACATTGCACTTAACACAAAAAATATTAAGCAGATCTGATTAAAAAGCAGACACATCAGCCCTTTTAAAACTCAGTTTGTTTCTCCTATCCCAAACTGGCTGATACCTACCCAGTTCAAAATTATTCAGCACTTGCATTGCAGTAGGAATTACCGATACTGGTAAGACTCTGGGACCCCTCCCATGCTGGTATGGGATGCACTACAGAGAGGTTAGACACCAGCCAGCCCCACAAACAACTACCTTTACTAAATTCATATCAAGCAGTTCCAAAACTTTCTTGAATTATTAAAGAACTGCACTATGCACAAGCTTAGGAAAGAGGATCTGGACACAGTGAAACCCCGCATGCTCATATTTGTTTTGCTGTAATCACAGGGGAAGAGCGGGTCACTCTGAAACAACCACAACTGGGCACAACAAAGCATTTATCCCAAGACTGCTGCACGTAATATGCTTCCAATATGCAGACCCGAAACACTTTTGCAATAGATCATATTTAGCATAGGTATTTCCTAATGCTCATCACTTTTAGAAGGGTCTGAGCCACGTGAAAAGATAGTGTTTCTTAAATGCAAGTCACTGAGAGTCTGAAGTAGATTTCACTTCAGTCAGTAGGAAAGGGGTTCCCACAGATGCAAGTGGCAAGAATGCACCTAACATTGCACTTCTCAAGGCTTCATTCTTGTTCCAGAAGATTATGAGTCAGAAGATGGAGGCCTCGTAAGAAACAGGCTAGAGAAAATTACAAGAAGCAGCTCATTACTGCAGGTCTCTAAGGGAGAGTCTTTACAGAGTCTTCTCCAGAGATCTTCAACAGTGCATGTTTTGTGGCTACCAGTATTGTAAAAGGCATCAAACAGCTACATCAAACTCACTTTTGCTAACAAAACAGTATTTTCAGTATCTTTTGGGTATTTTGGGCTATATAAAGAGGGCAAGGTAGTCTGATTCTCCCCACAATCATTTTTCAACAAGATACCCCGTGAAAATCCATCACCCATCTATTTTATTACCAGCCAGCTGCTTTCCACAACAGTAGCAGAATACAACTTAATTTTGATGTAAAAAACCCCATCCACCTTCAATTCTGTTGAAAACAAACCAGAGCAGGCAAACTGTAAATCACCTGATCAATTATGAATCTCTCCACAAGGCATCTGAACACCAGATCATCTCTATGGCTGTAGCTACTCAGTATTTAAGTGAAGAGTAAAATTTACAAAAAAATTCCAGACCAAATGATAATAATCTAATTTAGCTGCAGGTACCTTAAGAAAATTTTCTTTTGCCTCTCTTGAGAAAAGAGCTTCCAGCAGCCTATAGTTTGTACAAGCACTTTCACTGTAACAAAGCACTTGCATCTAAATTAATATCTACAGTAGGTATGAAACTCCTCTGAAAAGCCTAGCAGCGAATCAGCTGACCTTTATACTTTCCTGGCTTACTTTAAACAGCCTGACATGGAGGTTTTCAAGTCTCTGCAAATAGCTGCGTTTCTGAACTATGATCTCAGGTCACTGGGAACTGAAAGACAGATGGCTGGAGGTCAGGCCACCCCTCTGCCAGCCTCTGGATCTCTATGGAGATGGTAAGAGGCAGATGAGCTGCTAGGACTTCCAAGCTCTGCTCCTAAGAGCAGTACATCTCCCCTCAGTGTGGTCCTTGGGAAGGGGCCACTAACCATCATTGTTTCTGGCAGAGAAGCCCAGGGGCTGGGTGAAAGGGTGGCTGGGCTAAGGTGCAGCGTGCAAGGTTTGCAAGTAGGGGCTCATTCTTCTCCTGTGGTCACACCGCCACTGGCTGCCTGTCAAGACACCACCTGTAGTCATGCTACACACATGAGTAACTGCTCCCAGCTTGCCAGAAGCGGTGACATAATTAAGCCTTTTAATCCAGCTAGGATTTGAGTATGAAATTAAACATCCATGTAAGCACTGCAGGTTGGCAGACATCCTTCAGGTGCTCTTGTTTGACCCAAACCTCACAGGTGATCCTTTACAGCAGGCACTGCAGGAGCTCCTTAACAAACCTTACACCCTGTCAGGTTTTATGAGAACTCAGTTTAAACTTATGGGGAAAAAAAAACTCTAATTGTTTCTTCTGGCAACAATTACTTAAGCTTGGGGAGAAAAATTACACCATGAACACAGCTCATTATTTTGACAACTGTGACTAAGTCTTCAAAGATTAAAGAAAACACCTACTGGATTATAAATGAAAGACAGCCTGGAATACATTATGTAGAATAAAAGGATAGTCACCTTAACGAAATTTTTCATAAAAGATCCACAGTCCTTCACATATGTGTCTTTGTATACACTTTATTTATTTGAAGACCTTCTAATCTGTCAAATTCCAAACCACATTAATGTATTATAAGGTACTTCTGGCTGTCACATCCTACTTGCTTTTAAAAAACAAAAAAAAATAAAAAAATCCAAAGAACAACTAACATACTACTTTTCCTTCTGCACATCAATTTCCATCCAGATGAGCAGCATTTCTTTCACTTTCTATTCAAGCACACACCTGCTGTAATCAGGTCCTAGTGATTCTAAATGAAGAGAAGAAGAAAGGAAATTCAAGAGAACTAGCTTATAAACAAATTTATTTGGAAGTCTTTTTGGGAGCCCATGGAGTCAAATTTTAAGTTTGGGAACATTTCTAGTGTTACAGCACTATACACCAACCTCAGTGAAATACCACTTCCAGGTAAATACCTTGAAGATCACAAGTACAGCTGTATTTGCTACCTCTATCTCAAGTCAGCCACAACCTATACATACTGTCTTTCTTAGAAAATTTAAAACATAGAAGCCACAATAAAGCCAACATATAGCTATGAGTAAGACTGCACAGTCAGCTGGCCACAGACAGTGTCTGTCACTAAGAACTCTCCTGTAAATGCTGTGTGTGGTTTTAGAGTTTTCAATTACATGAAAAGGTAGGCTAGACTACAAACTTCAAGAACAGTGCGTATTACCATCACTATATTTGAAAAATTGATCTGAGACACTAAAATAACTGCTGCTGACATTGCCTCCACCCACTCTGGATGGGGCTGGTGATTGTACCTGCTAACCACCTATGCAAGATACTGGGGGTGAAAATTAAGTAACAAATGTGATAAAAGACTTGAGAGCAAAGCTCTTATGTTTTTTCCTCTTTCCTGCCTTCAAAGTTTATTTTTCATAAAAACATCTTTATTTCACAGACCCACTCACTGGCCTATCAACACCCCTCTACTTTTTCTAAACATTACAGGAAAAATAAGAACATGAGCTTCAAACTGAAGTAGAGGCCAGTGCTAAACCTTGTTCTGAAATAATGAAGTAAAAAAAGCACTGTTAGGTCTCAAAGAAACATCTCTATCTAGCCCAAGCTCTGCTGGGATCCTCCATTTTAATTCCTGTCACCTCAGCACTCCTCAGATCTCAGAAGCATCTTCAAAAAAGCCAAGAAAAATGTAGAGACTAAACTGGTGGCAGAGAGCTACAAATGCCTCCTGTATCCCAATGGCAAAATAAAAATATCAAGGCTGGGCCAGCTACTGCCATGATGAGAGTTTCTCTGTTTTTAAGGGTATTGAGAAAATCTGTAGCTGAGCAACTTAGCGTCCATAAAACTCAACAGGAGCTTTCATGATAGTATCTGTGCATCCCAACCCTTTTTCAGGAAAGGGTTTGAGTGGGTTTCACAATTTCAGCTTTCTTCCAGTTACAATACTCAACAGTATCACAATGTACAAATTACAGTCACAATACTGTACAAATATCAACACAAGAGTATTTTAATAAAAAAAATGGTAGTCGTTCTAAATCAAATTCCAGTAAAGCAAGAGAACACCAACACAACTTTGTGAAACCAACAGCCACATGTGAGAAGAAACAAGGATGCACAAATTCAAAGAGAAAGTAACAAGTAACCAGTACTTTTGCTTCAGATTAATCTTTTTAAGTCACCACTTCAGGGATACGTAAAAATCTTTATGTATTCACACAGCCTTTGCTTAGGGAAGAAAATAATTCAGAAGCAACACTGGAATATTCTAGTCAATGAACAAACGTAAGTCTTGGAAGAGCAGAGATCACTGCAACCCACCTCCACATTCAATAGTTTTTCTACTTCAACAAGATCAATATTAAGGAGACAATTACTGCTCCTCTTGTCATAAAATCCCATGTAATCCATGTCTCCTTTTCCTTCCATAAGAAAAGGAGCAATCCCGGAAATTATTTGCTGGTTAAAAAACCTGCACATGAAGAAACAGCAGATAAGCCTCCAAATCTTACTCTTGATATTCAATGAAAAGTAACAGAAAATGAAAGTCTAGCTTCTGGATTAATGTTCTTTTTCATTAATGTTCTTTATCAGATGTTCTTTAAGGTCCCTAAAAGAAAATCAAGAGCTAAAAAGCCTTCAAAAACCCACAAAAACACATCTTACCCAAAAGACCATCATCTGCCAATTATGGGGGAACACCTCCTAATATTAATAAGTAACCTATTTCCATATTCATTCTGACAACATGCCAACCCAGGAAAGCTAAAACTAAGATCAACATGCTGTATTATACCACCTGCTTTCTTAATAGCTTAAATCAAATATTTTGTCACTTTCAGAGAACTTTAGTTGCTTTTCAACTATTTAATACTACAGTATTTCCTGGTTTTACTTTTCTGGATTCTTTACATAAACTGAATTAGCAGTGTTTACAGGTGACAGTCTGAACATGTTTAAGAGTTATCTGAACACAGATTACAGAACACCTACATTTCACAATGTTTCATATTTACTGTTTTTCAATGCTGCC